AAAGCAGATTTAGCTGTGTTCTCAGCTGGGGTTTAAAAAGAACAAAAAACTACCACCCCTCTGAAAACTCCCTTTATAACCACAAGCTGWTCATTAGAACCACTATTCCAGAAAGGTATGTGTACTTCATAAAATGTAAACAATGTAAGTGTAACCATTAAAAAGTTWACCCTCCAAAGTTCAGTTCCTACCTTGCTGTACCAGTTAAGGCAGGGCTGCACCACCTCAGGGTCTTCTATCCCATGTAGTTCAATGTACCAGATGCTGAAGTTAAAACTCGGACCCCAAGACATCAGAGGCACTGAGACCAGAGATCGAGAAATAAGTGACTAAAACAAACATTGTGTTCAAATGGAAGCATAGCTACTTATAAAGTGGAGCTGTGTCTCTTACCTATTTTCACAAATCTGCAGGGGAACATCTGCTCGTCAATCTTGTGCTTTAACGTAAACGTCTCCTTGTTGTAATCGTTCTTAAGGCCACTGTCAGATGAAGAGAACCAAAAAAAATAAAATATAAAAAACAAGATGATGCAGCTGCTCCATCAATCTGTGTGCCACCATGTGTTCACATGTTCTGGACAATAACCCAGCTGTTTATTCATAAAATCCATGTRTGATTGTTAAAACAGTAGTTCTGGTGTGCCCACCTAAATAACAGGACATAATAAAAAACAAACGGGCCATTTTCATAACAAAAATGTCAAAAAAGGGACCTATTTCATGAGTTTTTTCATTTCTGTTGAAGCATGGCTGAAAAGCAATGACTGAATTTCATTTGTCCATTTTTATATATCATTGTTTTTGTCAGATTCTAGTTATTTCTGTGATCATTGCGGGTATTTCTTTCATTAAACGAGGGCTACCAACAATTATGTCCACATGTGTATGAGAACAGGAGCTCTGTATGTGGTGACATATGAAATCAAATTTAAATACAAGGACCAGATTTTGACACCACACAAAAGCAGCTCAGTAAGCAAAGATCTTAGAGACACTACAGCTCTAACATGGATTACAAACAAACCCAACATTTCCCCACAGAAGCCCAAACAGCTGCTGCTCATCTGTTTTACAAGAAGCAGATTAAGTGGACTAACTGGGATATCTCACCTGGATAAAAGCTCTGTCATGTTTTCTTCGCTCATCCCACCAAACACTTTGAACTTCTTGAGGTTGCAGACATGAGTTTTTTCATATTTCCCAAAGGTGATGCTCTGAACAATCGCCGGCCTTTCCAATTTCAAGATTAAAAACTAGAGAAACAGAGAAAGAAAAAAGGCATGTGGTAAAACTGTGATCCACTGAGTTTGTGCAGATCAGGAGTGAAGAATATATACGGCCCTTGAAACCCCTAACTGGCACCTTTAGTAGTTTCAATAAATAAATACAATATCTAAAATAATAAGCTAAAGTTTGATGAGACAGAAGCTGAGAGTCACCCTCCTGTCATTAATCTAGAACTGCTTCTTATTTTAGTAATGTGGCATTGCTGAAAAGCTCTCCATCTGTAAGAATGTTTGAAGTGCTGTACACACAACACCTTTCTGAGTGGTTAACCACAGTTTTGCTATGCTTCCTTTCTTTTTTGCAGTACAATGCAAACCTTCATATTTCATGTCAGACTTGAAGCATCCTCTATTGTGTTGCTGCTGTAGGTCAATGAGTTCAAAAAGGACAAAAAGATTTTTTTAAAGGGAGACAGTTGAGTAGAACTGAAAGTTTAAAGCAGATTTAGTGATAGTCTTTGGGTAACTCATCACACTGAAAGAAAACATGTTTTATTATAAAGAAATGCCTCTGCAGCGCTTCCTGATCACAAAATGCATTCATATCAGGGTTTACCCCAGAAAACTCACTAAGCCTGATGGTGAGGCTGCTTTCGGAGCCCACCGGCGGCCTACCATGTTTTTGTTAAAAAATGTTAAAAGTTGACAGAAAGCTTTAAAAAAAATGGCATAATTATTAGGGATGCAAACAATTAATCGACTCATGATTAATTGTCAAATAATGGTTTAATACTGATTAAAATTTGTTCCATTTGACTGACTGATAATCTCTGGCCACTGATTTAATGTCAGATGACCGATTGAACGCCAGATGACCGATTCAGCGTCAGGTGATCAATTTAAACGCCAGACGACTGATGCTACATTCACACCGAATGCGTCAGATGACCAATTTAACGTCAGATGAAAGTTTTAGCATCAGATGGCAGATTTAGCATCAGATAACAGATTTAACCTCAGATGACCGATTCAACGGCAGATGACTGATTTAACATCAGACGAATGATGCTACGTTCACACCTAACACGTTTTCAGTAGGGCCGCAACAACGAATCGATAAAATCAATAAAAATAGATTATTAAAAGCGTTGGCAACGAATTTCATTATCGATTCGTTGTGTTGCGGGTGCCTCGCCGTGTTGCGGAGCCGATTACGTCACCCACAGAGCGTTGTCAAAGCTGGCTGACCTCAATAAAGTTTAGGAAGAAAGAAAACCTCTACCTGTAAAGATCTGCCCTCTCTGACTCTCGAGTGAAAAGCAGAGATGTCGAACTTTAAACCAGTTTTTAAATCGTGTTGTTAGACCAAGTAGATCCAAAGATATGATAAAAAGTATACGCTACATTTATTCTTTTTAAAAGACGTCTGATTTGATGCGCTCACCACTTGATTCACCAGATAATTTAGAGGCGGTCTGTTCGGTGAGTTTCACCACTCCAGGAGCTGCGAGCTGATGAACTATTTTTGTCCCGAGCCCAGTTTAACACAGTGGTCAGTTTAACAAGCCGCTGACCCACATCAGTGCTGATATCTCCAGCCAGAACATCAACTAGAGACGGTCAATTTCAGCTAAAAAGCTCCTGTCCGTCTGTTTCAGGTTAGTGGGTAACATTCAGGAAACCGTTATGTGGAAATATTATTCTCTCTGAATGGATGACGCAGCGTGTTGAGCAGCAAAAGTTCAGATTTTTTAACTCAAGCGTCGGCTGCTTTGAACTCGCTGCATGCACGTCAAATGCTCAAACCGCACCTACCGCTTCATTGCGCGCCGCGCTGAACGCGCTAGACGCGCCGCGAGACCCCTAGACACGTCCACCATAGACTTTGCATGCAAACCGGCTGCTCCCGCTGCTCAAAATGCATTTGGTGTGAACCCAGCATGATTTAGAATCAGAGTTGTAGTAACCACAGGAATAACGTCGAGTCCATACCATGAAGACGTGAGGAAAAACTGTTGAAGCCAAATTAAAAAGTGAGGTAATGACTCAGATTAATATTGGGGACAAAGAGTCACTGATAGGTGTGCGTTTGGAGAATTAGGTTGAACTCTGTTTGGTCTGAGTGCAACATCTGGTCTTTCTGACAATCCAAACCTTCAGTCTGCGTTCTTCTGGAAATATTTGCGTTCTTCTGGAAATATTTGCGTTCTTCTGGAAATATTTGCTTTCTTCTGGAAATATTTGCGTTCTTCTGGAAATATCTGACAGTGAATCAGACTGAAAGAAGGTGAGCTCATCATCACACATGAGATTTTTCTAAAGGATGCTGGAAACATGAAGCCCAAAAACTCCTGACAGTTTTTGTAAGAACTCAGCATCTGAAAACCAATTATTTTCCTCCTGCTGCTTGTTGCATATCTGTGCAATTGGAAACACATGCACACAGACAGACACACACAGGACCACTGGACGGCCCCATCTGCTGCTCAGATTGTTACAGATTGAACTCTTTCCACCAGACTGAGTGTGATGATTCACAACGCTCCATGTGCTTCTTGGTCTCATCTTAAAGATCGATTGTGTCCCTAACAAATTCAATTTCACTCAACAGATCTGTACAAAGATACTGTTGACGTTGAGCTACTGTGGTCTTTTATTTCTGGTTTACCAGTTCTTTTCTGTCTACTGGATAACCCTAATTTGTTGTTTTTATACTCATTTTCTTTATTTCTCTCTCATAAAACAATGTAAGCATGTTGTCTCATTAGTAACTGAAAATATTTTTGTCTGAAGATTGGCCGAATCATTTACAGGTAGTTGTTGGATCCCACCTTATGCGTATGGGTAACAAAATTGAAGAATTCTTCTATTTTTTTTACAAGTGCAACTGTTATATTGAAAATAGGGCAGCCACGATTAGTCGACTAGTCGCGATTATGTCAACTATTAAAATAGTCATCGACTAATTTAAGAGTCGATCAGTCACTTTTTTTTTTATAGTCGACTAATCACGCATTAGTCAACTTTAAAAAAAAATCATTTGTGGCACCCCTAATTACCACTACTGCGCATGTGTGTCAAGAACAGAAAGGAAGACACGGCAGAGGAAGGTGCCACAGCAGTTTCGAGAGAAAAACATAGTTAGAAAAAGACGATGCATCAACTATTAAATTATAGACGTTTTTAATAGTCGACAATAATCGTGACTAGTAGACTAATCGTGGCAACCCTAACTGAAAAAAAAAACTAAAGAACTGACACCTAGACTGTGTAGACTGGTGATTAAATGCATACAGCGGGTAAAATAAGTATTGAACACGTCAACATTTTTCTCAGTAAATATATTACTAGAGG